TCACTCACTCTTTCTTTCCTTCCCTCTTTCTTTCTCCTTTCTCTTCCCTTCCCCCTCCCACCCTCCCTCCCTCCTTCCCTTCCCCCTCCTTCCCTCCCTCCCTGCCTGCCTCCCTCCCTCCCTTCCTTTCTTCCTTCCTTCTTTCCTTCTTTTCTTCTTTCTTTTTGGGACTAGAAAGCACAAGGCAGTCATGACACAGTAATGACAGAGTTATCATAATATGCTATGTAGCAAATAACTAAAGACTTAGTGGTTTAAAACAACACACATGTATTAGCTCACAACTTCTCTAAATCTGTGTTAGGGCATGGTATCACTGTGTCCCCCTGCCCACAGTCTCACCAGACTGATATCAGGTATCAGCTAGAGAGCATCTCACGAGGCTTGCTGATCTTTTCTGAAGCTTGCTCGGTCCTGAAAGAATCAGTTTCCTTGAGAATGTGGAACTGAAACCTTCATTTTCTTGCTAGATGCTGGCATTGTTTTCTTTCATCTCCAGGAAGCCTATGTTTATTTCCATTGTCCCCAGTGAAGTCACATCAAGCCTACACCATACTTCATATCTCTTACTTCCCTTTCTGAAACCATCAAGAGAAAACTTTAAAGAGCTCATGCGATAAGGTCAGGCCCACGTGAATACTTTCTCTTTTGATTAACTCGAAGTAAACTAATTAACAACTTTAATTACATTGACAAAAATCTTTTTGCCTCCAGAATTCAATAGTGTCAGTAGAGGTGTCTCATATTGCACAAATCAGGGAAGATATACACAGGAGAGAATTATTGGAGGTCATTTTAGGATTCTGATAGACTGCAGAATGAACAGTTTATTTACCGTTAGCCTAAAATGGAAATGGGTGCAGCTGTAAGCATCTCACAGGAAGTGATGGATATGCATAGCACTAATGGTCTACAAAAGCTGACCAGGAAGAGCAGGTTAGAGTGGGACTGGAGGAGGGGCCCCAGACCAGTGTGGCAGGGGCGATGTTTGGCATCAATCAATGCTATTTTTGTTCCTGATTCACCTTAACTGCACTGAAACCTTGTGTTCATTTCACATTTTTGGTTGTTTTTTTTCCTGTTTTTAAGTTATTGATGTTTCCTCTGTACTGTAACCCATCCATCCATTTCAGGTGGCAGCTGGGACAGCCTGGGCTTATGGCTTTGGGGAAGAGATGGATAGTGTGCAGCTTCTGTGTTCCAAGTCAGTCTCGGAAAGCTTTCAGTAGAACAAGAAGATCAAAAGCCAAAGCCTGTTTTTTTTTTCAGTCTCAAAAGTTGACTCTGAAAGACTCAGAATTGCAAGACTGCAGGCATGTTAGAATCACTTCTTTTTTTTTTTTTGAGAAGGAATGAAATGTTTCTGGAAGAGTTGATGAGAACTGATGAGAAGCGTGATGGAGTTAGAAATGGTGCAGGGAATAGCCTGTGTAGAGTCTTCCTTAGGTGAGGACAGCAGACTCATCCGCAGGGGCATGGGGAACTTACCCTCTGAAGATCTGAGAGGAGAATCTACTGGAGCAAATGAGCAATAGATGAAGGGTACCCATATTTGTTTGCTGCCTGAGGCATCACAGGGATGAAAGTGAGTACCTAATGATCCAGTAAGACTTAGACATGCCCATGTCTTCTCTGTAGAGAGGAGCAAGCAATCAGAAATAGAGACACTCGTAGAGGAAAAGTAAATTATTTTTAGGGGCAGTGAATTGGCCTGAGACAAGCCCATGTGGGTTCTGGGTGCAGTGTCATTTACCATCTCCTTTCCTGCCATGCTCACCGGTTTTCCTTGGCTAATGTGGTTTCTGGGAAGAGAGTCTTACTGCTGACTGTTAAAAGATCTATCCTTTCAAGAAGACAGGGGGACTTGAGAGAAATCCCCTCCCCACAGTCGCAGCTCTCAGTTTGAGGTTCAAAGTGGTGTATTTTAGGATTTTGGTTTCTGAGGCACAGCACACTGTGCAAATCCGAGGATCTGAGAAATGAGGGGAGCAGACCCCTGCTTTCCTGTTTGGAGCCCTGTGAATTGTTGGTGTGATCAGAGAGAGTGTATGTGTGCAGTGGCTTTGGGGCTATCTAGACCAAGGGTTCTGAGAGCCATGGACTTTCTACGGCACCAGAGAAGCTGAGTAGAAATTGGTGGAGGTGATCAGGCATGAGGACAACGTGCATCAGGGTCTGGAGTCAGAGCCAATGGAGAATACTGATGATGCCATTGGGGATAGCAATGCTCATTTGAGTAGAGCCAGGAGAGAGAGAGAGAGAGAGAGAGAGAGAGAGAGAGAGAGAGAGAGAGAGGGAGGGAGGGAGGGAGGGAGGGAGGGAGGGAGGGAGGGAGGGAGGGAGGGAGGGAGGGAGGGAGCAAGGGAGGGAGCGAGAGAGAGAGAGAGAGAGAGAGAGAGAGAGAGAGAGAGAGAGAGAGAGAGAGAGAGAGGGAGGAAGAGGGAGAGGGAGAGGGAGAGAGAGGGAGAGAAAGAACTGTGCTGCTAATGTCCTTATTGTATATAAGCCTGACACAAGAATTTGGTTAGTCTCTTTAGAATTGAGCTACAATTCTATTTTTTATTTTTAGAAATTTAAATTACAGTTATTATGCACCATCTATATTTGTGTGTTTGTGTGGGTCAAATGTTATAGTATGTATTGAGGTCAGAGGACAGCTTAGAGGAGCTTGCTGTCACCTTTGTCTAGGGATATAACTTAGGTCATCAGGCTTGGTGGTAGGCACCTTTATCCCTGAGCCATCTTGCCCTATGTGAGCCACAGTTATTAGGGGAGGCAGCCAAAGAATTCCAACAGACCAAGCAAAGCCTGGCAGGGCAAGGAAAAACTAAGTGAACTAAGACTGAATAGCCAATGGAATCAGGGTGGGATCTTGGGTTTAGAATTCACATTTAATTAAAGAAACACAAAGAGAGTTCCATTCCTAGATATCTGAGATTTAATTAAAGAAACATGAAGAGAGTTCCATTCCTAGATATCTGAGATTGCAGCCTGGGCATTTGTGCCCATTGCACATGTCAGAACATGATGAAGTCACTGTGATTCTGCAGTGGGGACAAGAGCGGTTTATGCTGAATTTTAAAGGATTAGCAGCATGGGCATGGGATGGACACTGTGGGCAGGTACTAAGAAGGCAACACATACCACGGACAAAGGAGAGGTACAGATGGGACAAGCTGAGAATGGCGTTTGGCAGGGGCAGGGAATTCATTTGGTGAAGACAAGCTAGCTGTTGGACATGAAGGGTCAGGAAGGGAATGTGCTGCACAATTTTCTAAGAACTTAGTAGGGGAAAGTGAGGTAAGTTAAGTATCATTTATTTGCAGTATCTTCCAAAGGATACACAATCTCCAATCTGCAGATATACATTAAGACTCAAAGATGTTAAGGCTCAGTGTGCTCATGTACCCTAGAGCACGTTGATGGACGATAGACCACACATACCACAGTGGCTCCATAATATTGTAATATAGCCCAGGTGTGTGGGAGGCACTCCGATCCAGGTGTGTGAAGTTCAGTGTGTGGTATTCACATGGTGCTGAGACTGCTTAATGATGCATGGCTCAGAATGTAACTCTATCATTAAGCAACACAGGACTGTAAATTCAGATTGCTGGTAGCTGGTGGAACAGGGAATGGAGTCCTTGCTCTTGGCTCTAATGCTCGGGCATTTCTTTCTGCACCCTGGGGTAGCTCTGTGATAGCTTTCTTTTTTTGGACAAGGGCAAGACTCAAACAATAATAAAGAGAGAGGGAGAGAGTTTTTGAGGGTTGGTCTGGCACAGTTGTGAAAATGGATCAGAGAGAGAATAGACTGGAGAGCAGAATTTAGAGTAGCAGATTTGGGGAGTAGGTGATGCACGATGGACTGGGGTAATGCTGATGGAAGAGGCAAGGCTAGATGGAGCAACGAGATGTTTTGAAGGGGAAGCTGGGTAAGATGAAGCTTATAGATGAAATAAGTTTCTAAGATTCTTTTTAGACTAAATGATTTCCCTCCTTCGCTTCCAATGGTTTGAATCACCTTTTTCATAAACCTGCAGCCATTAAAAAAGTCATAAAACATTAAAAAATAGCCTAAGGCCTTTTTTACTTTTGGCAGGTTTATTCAAGGACAGTTAGTTCTCATAATTAGTTTCCAGAAAGTATGAGCTCTACCTGCAGTATTAAAAAATAGTTGAATGTTCCTAAGCTTTCTGATAGGAAAATTCACATAGTCACAACATGCAGAGCACCCCAGACTGTTCTCTTGTAACATATGGGGAAGGAACAATGAAAACCATTCCTCTGAGATATCTGAGATTTATGCAATTTTATGCCCACGTTCTCATGGAATGTCTGGTAACAAGACAGCTGGGGCCTTGCTCTCAGCAGTCTGTCATGAGCAACTGGTCTCTCCTTCTAAGGTAAGACAGCATACAATATCATGCGGTGGAATTAAATTTCTTTTCTAAGACCTTGCCATACCTGAAGTTATGCTGACGAAGATGAAAGTCCAGGCTTTGGGTAAACCTTCCAGTTTGTTGGTTGCAAATAATAAACATAGTCAGTGACTAGAAGCTGCTAATACCAGGCAGCTTGTAGATCTCAGCAACCTTGGTGATCTAACTGGAGTCCTAAAATTCATTGCAGTCTTTCTCAGAGAACATGGAACAGTCACACTTCAAATGCCCAGGATAGAATTTGGTTACCCTAGGTAGTTGTGGATCTCATCTTGTCCTCCACACATCATTCTGCATTTTGAGAAGTGAGATCGGGATAAGGAGAGATCTGGCCTAAATTCTAGATGCTGTCATTAATTTATTCATAAATATCTATTGGGAATTTATTGTGTTTCAGATATATTTTATACTTATTGGTATTCTGCTTTCTTGAGAAAAATATGGAATGTAGAGACAGTCCCTTGGGCATGTGTGTGGTTCTGATAGTCAGGTTTGTCAATAAGTTAAAAAGGGGTTTCTAATCATCCACCTCTTTCCCTTGCTTTAATTCTCCCTTAGGAATGGAGGGAAGCCATAGAAACTACAGAGACTCCCTGATGGAGAAGAGGTTTTATGGCAATGAGTGGCTAACCAAACCACAAGGTACAACACCAAGGTTGAGTCTATAGGTGTCAATTTGTATAAAATGTGTTTGTATGATGTGTATGTATGTGTATGATGTATGAGTGCATTCATGCATGTGTTTGTGAGTACAGGTACACATGTGCCAGAGTGTGCATGTGAAGTTCAACAAACAACCTTGGGTATTGATCCTCACCTTCAACCTTGTTGAAGCCAACCTTGAGTCAGGATCTCTTGTTCTTCTGTGTGCTGGTCTAGCTGGTCTGCAAGCTTCCAGGGGTGGCCTGACTCAATTCTCCATCCCATAATAGGAGTGTTAGAGTTATAGACTTGCAAACCTGTGTTTGGCTTTATGTAGGTTCAGGGAATCTATACTCAGGTCCTCATTCAAAGATAAGTGCTTTACCTATCGAGCCATCTATCTCCCCAGCCCAATTTGTAAAAAAAAAAGAAAGAAAGTGAATACTAACACATACCACCACCAACTTTAAAATGTATATTTTAGACTTAGAAACTTCATCTCTAGACATTAATTCACTGGAAAAATAAAATGTTCAACATAGCAGGTTTAAAATTTGGAAATGATCTGAATGTCCAAGAGGAGATTGGTTAAGTGTATTATCATAACATATGCAGAAGGCTGCCTAATCATCAGAGCCAGTTGTAACACGTGAGTAATTGATATGGAAAGGGACTAAGTAACATAGGAGAACAGATATGGAGCTATCCGGAAAGCATAGGACTAACCCATGAGAAGCAATACACATTTTATTGTTTGAGTTTTCAACAATGAAACTGTTATTTTTATAATTTGAAAAAAATTAAAGACCACAGTAGTGCCAGTCTGCTCCCCAGCCAGCATGATGCTATGGGGAGAAATGATGTATAGACGCACTTTCGTCCTTCCCTTTGGCTGTCTGATGGTTGAAATAACGTGCCCCAAGAAACTGGAATTTCTTTAGTATTTTTATGCTGTGGGAAGAAAACCTGAGGGCCTTGTGCCAATAGGGTAGCTTATCCCTGGGAGGAGATTTCACACATATCTGATAACTTGTCAGATCTCCCTGCAGGAGAGGGCCAAGCTTAGATAATTATGGTGGACAGAGCCATCTTGACCAGGTTTGCTTGGCTATGAACACCTCTTTCAGGGTCTTTAAAGATAAACCCAGTATCATTTTATTAGACCATCAAGCTAAACAGCAAAGGATGGGATGTTTATCTTTAGTTTAAAGAAAACAGCAACAGAAAACACCCGATAGCTTTTTTAAGGGATCCATAGTCTTCATCTATACATATCATTGTATTTTTAAGCTCAGGTATCATGAGTACCTACCAAATTCTCTGGCATATTAGAAAACATGTATGCCAACAAACTCATCAATCAGAACAAAATTTTAAACATTTGTTTTTTTCTTAATAAAATCTGCATTTAAGTATTCAGTGTGTGTGTGTGTGTGTGTGTGTGTGTGTGTGTGTATCTGTCTGTCTGCCTGCCTACCTGCCTGGCCATATGTGTACCATGACATGCATGTGGAGACGAAGGTCAATTTCATGAGTTGATTATCTCCTTGCAGGGCTTAGACGTGGTGGTAGAAACCCTTACTAGCTCAGCCATCTTCCTTGGAAGGGCAGCATTTCACAGTCATGGAAAGTCTAATTCAAAGACTCTCCCAGTGGAGACTGGCCAGCACAGCTGAATATACCAATGGTGGGAGTGGCTTCAAGTGAGATTCCACATACCTGTTCGATAGAGAGCCTTGGGAAGTTGGTCTCTCTGCTGTCTATCCTAATTTGGTGTCTGTTGACATGAAGCTCTAGATCACAGGTGTCTATCATAGGAGGAACCAAAGAAAAAGGCCCCTCTACTGTTTCTGGTTGAAAGGAGAACTTTTGTACTTGAAGCTGAAGTGACATCTTTCCATGTTTTGATGAACCCAATGCTTCATGTTCATAGCAATCTCTATGGAAATGAGAAGTATTCATCAGCTTGGGCCAATCATTTCCCCTTCCTAGAACTAGGACTGAACAAATCTACATGACTGGGAATGGCTAAGAGGTAGTTTTCAAAAGGAAATTTGGCTGCAAAGGAAGTGTGGTATGCCCAGAAGGACAGGAGGCGATGCTAAATTGCGAACGGCAGGTGTTTTCCACTGTGGACTTAATTTGTGTTCCCTGATAATGACAGCGAGCAATTTTTTTGTGTTTATTGGCTTTTCCTTTTGTGTGGAGTGACTGTTCAAAGCTTTTTCTCATTTGTGAAGAAAAAAGTCTTCATATTAATTTCTGGCTCTTTTTGTGCTTTAGAAATCAGTGTTTGCCAGTGATATGTGCTGCAGACATCTCCCATCTGCGGCTTCCCTTTTCACTCTCCTAATGAAACCTACTGATGGACAAACATTTTTAATTTGAATACTCTACCTTATCTGTGTTGTCCCCCATGGTTGTTACTTTTTTATGTCCTGGTTGGAAACTTTTCCAACCTCAAACTCTCCTCTGATGTTTCTTTGCTTATAGTGCCCTTAATCTTTAGGTCTGTAGTTCTTCTGTAATTAAATTTAGTGGATTAAAGGGCTTAGATTTTTCTAGGGGAAAAGTTTTAAATTGAAAATAAAAATCTTATTAATGTATTTTATGTGAGTCATGTTTTTTAAATTTTATTTTCCCACCAATGCATTTATTTCACTTTAAAGTGAAATAAACCTGCCACCCCCGCTGTGTTAAGGGTCTCATGTAGCCAGGATGACCTCCAACTCACCATGTGGCCAAGGTTGGCATGACTTTGAACTGATTTTGCTGTTTCCACTTTCCAAATGATGGGTTTATAACTGTGCATAGTCACTACCCAGCCTTAGCCCATTTAAAAAATTTATTAGCTAACATGAAACTTATTCTCTTTTTGAAAAGATTTTTACATGTATGTGTGTTTTATCAGCATGTATGTTTATGTATCCTGTGCCTGCAGTGCCTGTCCAGAGGACAGAAGAGGGTGTTGGCACCCCTGGAACTGGCATTACAGATGGTGTGAGCTTCTGTGTGGGTGCTGGAACTCAGATTTGTCACTCTATCTATCTATCTATCTATCTATCTATCTATCTATCTATCTATCTATCTATCTATCCATTCATCATTCATTTATTTAGGTGTTTCTTTATATAATCCTCGCTGTCCTGGAACTTGCTCTGTAGACCAGGCTGACCTCGAACTTACACAGAGAAATCCACCTGGAAGGGTTGAGGCAATCAGGTTCAATGATGATGATGATGGTGATGATGATGTGTGTGTGTGTGTGTGTGTGTTCTTCTCTGTGTGTGTGCTTGTGGGCACACACTGTGTGTGTTCTGTCCTTCCAGCTTTGTGTGGATCCCACATCTTGAATTCAGGTCACCAGGCTTAGTTATCTCTCTGGCCCCCAGGTTAATCAGCATGAAAGATCTTCTTTAAATGTAAGAATTCAACTCAAATTATCTCCCCTGCTAAGCATTAATTTAGATGCACCCTATACATTTTTAGTATGTGTTCATATTCATTAAGTTCACAGTGATTTAAATTTTGCCTTGTGATTCTTCTTTGACTTAAGGATTATATAAAAGTGTGTTACTTAATGTCCAAATACTTATTTTTTAACACCCTGTTATTGATTTCTAATTTGTTTCTGTGGTGATCAGAAATTAGACCACACATGCTTTTAGTTTTCTGGGATCTGCTGAGGCATTTTAAGGTACGTTTGTTTGTTACTTTTGCATTGCCATGAATGCCATATCTAAGAGCAGGGACTTGGGGACTGATGCATTTTGGTTCATGGTTTCAGAGCTTAGGTTCATCATGGTGGGAAAGGCTTGGCAGCAGCTTAGATCATGGGGGTCAGGCAGAGGTTGTTCACACCAGGGAAGATCAGGGACCAAAGGGCAATGCAGGAGCCAGAGGTTCAGTAAAACCATCAAAGGCCACCTCCTAATGACCACAACTAAGCGCTATCCCTTAAAGGTTGCACGGGCTGCCTAAAGCCCCACCCTAAGAACAAAGCTTTCAAAATACGAGCATGTAGGGGATATTTCAGGCTCAAACTGAAACAGTACATCATGTAGTGTATCTAGGTCAGCAGTCCATGTGTACTTGAAAGTCATGCTTATTTTACATATGTTAATCTAGAAAGCAATTAGGCCAAGTTAGCTGATGATTTTGTTAAAATATTCTATTTCTTTATTAATATTTTTGCTCTGTTGTATCAGTTCTAAAGATGGTTTGGGGTATGTCTGTTTAATTCTACTGCCATTTGTTTTAAATGTTTTGAAACCCTCTTGTTTTCACTTTTGTACTGTTTCACATTCAACCAACACCCTTATGCACACTGTGCAAACATTCTACACTGAGCTATATTCCCAGTGAGACCCTCATAATTAAGTACACTATAGTACCTTCCATTAAGAAATGTAAATTTCCATTTATAGGTGTAAATTCAAAAGCCAAGAAAACAGAAACATAAGGAGATATTTGCCCATGAGCATTCATAGGATTGTTCTTTACTGTGGCCCCAAACTGGAAGCAGTGTACTGTCCACACCCAGATGAATGAATAAATGAAATGTGACATATGGAGTAGGAAGCTGAAGAAATGGCTCAGCAGTTAACAGCCATGGCTGCTCTTCTAGAGGACCCAAGTTTTATTCCTAGCACCTAGATGGTGGCTCACAACTGTTTGTAACTTCAGTCCCTGGGAATCTGTCTGTTCTAGTCTCCTACAGCATTAGGTATGCAAGTGATACAGAGAGAGAGATGCAGGAAAAATAACTGTGCACATAAAACAAATCTTCAATTTAAAAAATATGGCATACTTATGTGATAGACTATTGTCCATCATCTGGAAATGGAGGAAATTCTAACAGTGTAGCATGGCTGAGCCTGGAGGATGTTAAAATAAGTGAAAAATGCCCACCATGAAAGACACATACTGTCTGTTTGCAGCTCTATGAAGGATAGAGAGAAAAAATTCATAGACACAGACAGTAACATGACAGCTGTCCA